TTACATTTACTTACATGCTAATATACTTAGGAAAGGTATGAATCTTCTTTCCACTTAGCTTTGAGTAAATAGCAAGACAAACTGGTTTCTATAGCCTTGGATGGCAACTAGTCTAGGAGAAGGTAACTCTGAAATCAGAAACTGGTTTAGAGAGGGTTGGGCTCTGTCAGGCTATCTTGCCTAAGAAACACCACGGCTGCAGTGCATGTGGTGCCCTCTATGACTTTGATGGTTCATGGGATTTGTAAAATCTTAGAAAAAGTATAAATCCATCTGTTCCCCCTCCCAACTTATGGGTTAATAACAGGGCAGGCTGGTTTTTCTCTCACCAGGGGAAGGACAACTCTGAATTCAAAACTGGTTGAGTGTAGGGTTAGTGAATCCACCCCATAAAAAGTGTATAGAAACCACAGCAACAACATCTAATGTGGTGTGGCTCTATACACCATAAGGAAGTCTACATGGTTAACCTACAATAGGAGTAAGTTTACTTTATATGTGTGCTTTGTAATCATATATATGTCCCTTATCATTCAGATATTATTGTCGCTGTAAGCAAGATGGCACAGAATCATTGTAATATGTGTGTCCGATTGATTCATTTTCTAATGTTTATCAACCCTTTGCAGGTTATATGAAGCCAAAAAATATTTTTATATTGTAAGAATTGGTGTGGGGGGATAATTTTGTGATTAGTTTTACTAATTAAATAGGAAGGAGAAGAGGTGGATTAAGATCTTTCTCAAGTCAATTTGTGTGTAAGTGAATATAATGAACTCAATTGAAATTTGAACTCTACTCTTTGATTAACAATTTTAAGCCTTTATCCATTACACCACTTGCACAACCAAGCTTACAGTACCTGGTATTCCAAGCAGTCACCCATCAAGGTACTGATTAGGCTTAACTTTAGTGATTGTATATGTATGCATGTCTTTTCTCTTTTATGTGAATACTACTAGTAACAAATATAATGCCAAGGAATCCAGGAAAGAAAAATGGTAAAAAGCTTAAATTTGATCTTTAGCCAACAGTAAAGAAAAATGGACTTTTGCAACAAAAAGGTCACAAGTGCAAGTCTTCCTGGGAGTTTACTCTTTGATTGGAATCCACATCGTTTATTAATGATTATTGACTTAAGATTTACAATTAAAAGCAACTTGAATGGAGATGAAAAATCTTTTTCTATGTGCCATGTCTCTTCCGGACATTGGTGATCATGGTTCTCCACAATTTCCTGTTCTTTGTAGCTCTTAATAAACTTGCTCCATCATCCATTTACTTAAACTCGCTAGGTAGCTTTGGGTTGTTTTCCTCTGTCACTCTTGCCTCAATCTATCCTGTGAGTATAAAATTTTCCAAGCCCTCTTTCCTCATTATGTGCCATAGAAATTTTAACTGTCTCTTTCTGATGTTAATATCCTTTTTGTTTCCATTTTCTCTAAAACTGTTACTGCTCATAAATTCAGTCCATGGCATTCTTAGCATCTTTCTGTAGAAACACATTTGTTTCAAATTACTTAAAGAAACACTAATCATGGTGGACTAGAGGAGGCACAGTCAAGTAATGGATAGCAGCTCAGATTGAGGAATCAGAGAGCTGAGTTCAAATTCCAGTCAAATCCATTACATTCACTTACATGCTAATACCGTTGGCAAAGGTATGAATCCTCTTCTTCTCTTACCAACTATGGATGAATAGCAGGACAGACCTGGTTCTAAAACCTTGGTTGGCAACTGGTCTACTGCAGAAAGAAATGGCAACCTACTGCGGAAAAAACAAATCTGCCTTGTCAGTCATGTATCAAAAGATACATGATTGCCTAAGCATGTATCACACATGGCACATAACTGAGTTAAAAATTAATGATCTACAGGGAGTCTTTTGAAAAAATTGGGTTTCAAAAAAAGCTTAGACATATGGATGATGCCATTATAATCTGGTCCAGTTAAGAAGGTTTAAATCGCTTATAAGGTTGGCCTAATGGACTGGTCCAATCAGAATATTTGCCACCATTCTCTGATTTTGTTCGTCATGGAGAGAAAACTGCTGATTTCCATATGAATTTTCCACATGAATGTGGCTATAAAATGAATTGGCTGCAAATAGCAAAGAACATGATGGATAGCTGAAACAAATCTTGTAATGATAATGACTTATCTCAAAATTACAGAATACTAGCACTCTTCATACAAGGGGTAGGTCATAATTGGGAAGGGGGAAGAATTTCTCAATAAGCAATAATCAGATGGTCTTAATAAAAGGGGTTGGGTTGTAAAAATCATTTGAAAGGTCAAAAATTTAGAATTTAGTTTGTTTTTTAGAACCACTAATGTAACACTGAATTTCATCAAGGTTTTCTTACACTTTCAGGTAAGATAGTAATATACAAAGAAGCCCTGGCATAACTTAATTAGTATGGAAAAAAAAAAGACTTTGCCTAAATTAAATATCAAATTGCATAATCACAAAAATAGAACTTACATTTGTGCACCATCATTGTATGAAAAAGTTCAAGAAATTCTGGGTATGAGGAAATCCCGCAGACAAGACTTGTCTACACATCTTATTTTAACAAAAAAGTGTGTGAGTAAAGACTTACACTAAGTATAAGAATTACTATTTCAGCCATTGTACACTCAGGCCTTCTTCAGCTGATAATTGGAATTTCAAATGGAACCTTTTATTTAGTCCACAAGATACACTGTTCTAATTCCATGTGTCATGCCTTTGGATATTTCAGTTTTAGTTAATTCTCCTTGATAACTCTTCAAGTTTTTGTTCTCTCTGCTGAGGCCATGGATGGAACTCACAACTCTTTGTCCCCAAGGACACATGCCACAGTGTATAAAAGCATTGGTTGATTGGGTCAAGTCATGTTTTGGATCAATGTTGTGAATATGGCAATAAAGACGAGGACAACAAGATATGTCCCAGTGGATAAAAGCATTGATTGATTGGTCCAAAAGTGATTTAACCCAAAGTTCAATCCTTGGCCACAGCAGAGAGAACAAAAACTTGGAGAGTTGAATTATCAAGGGGAATTAACTAAAACTGATATATCCAAAGGCATGTCAAGTGGAATTAGAACAATCTACCCACTAAAGGGATTGGTTCAAAATTCCAAATACTGCTTGTAAAAGGCCAGAGTGTACGATGACTAAAACATTGCGAATATGGCAATAAAGATGAGGACAACAGTCTGAACAATGTAAATAAATAAGGGAGTGTCTTAATAAGCTTGACAGGGTGAAGAAATTGGAAAATATATTTCAGTTCCTTACTGCCTTCTATTAGGCACCTAAGAGTAATATATTAAAAGTAGATCTGTGGGGGAACTAATTAATGCAAATTATAAGACTGAAGATCATTTTTATACTAAGTTACGCATGGTAATCTTATTAGTTGAATCTGAAATCTGATAAAAAGATACAGAGTGCATGTTGTGCCCAATCAAGGATGGAGAGTGTGGATTGATGTAACTGGACAGAAGGCAGAACATGACAGTCCTCAAAATAAGTTGGCAGTGCAATTGTGTAACCACACTCTAATTTCCCTGTTGATTTTGAAGAAAGAAGAAGACTTGCAACCCTGCCAGCTGGTGGTGGTTCAGTTGTGCTGGTGGCTCCAGAAACATCATTTGTTGGTTGTTCTTCAGCTGGAGTCAAGAGGCGACCATCCTCTTCCTGGGCCAATACCAATAACCGGCTACGTGTACAACCCAGGACAAAGGGTAGAGTAGATGTATTTGGCAGCACCAACCCTGAAATAAAAAGAAAGAGAAATAAATTATATATTATTTTTTTTTTTTAATTATGTATAAAAAGTAAACACTTCTATTCAAGTACTTAAACATGTGTAGTTGCCTAATCTATACAGATCAGTGAAACTCAACTCACATCAAATATGTACTCTTGACTACTTGTAGTTAAAGCAAGCTAATCAGAGAATGACAGTAAAAATTACAATGTTGATTTTAAGGTAAACAAGCCTAGAGTATGCAGAAAACAGACTAAAATTTTTTTTAATTACTTCACAGAATTAAATTTTTATATATTATCTCTATTCTTTTTCCTGTCCCAAATCATCAAAGCTAGTTAAGCAACTGAAATTAAATATTTTCCCTTAAAGTCTAGAGCAATGTTTTTCAACATTCTTAACTTTGTGTAACCCTTGAAACAGTTTTTAGGTCTCAGGAAACCCCTGCACAAAAATTATTATATATCATTATTAATATCTCTTAAGGCCGTTTAACACTGATACCATATAGATATTGCTAAATACAATCCCTATGATGATTATAATTTTAAATAATATAAAATATGCTTATTATGATAAGCAAGGATTTTCCAACAATATGCATATAGTAAATTTACAAAAATAAAATTAAACAAAAATTAAGAAAAAATTAACCTATTTATTACTGTTTCTCACAAAATCCCTAGTGACTTCTTGTGAAACCTTAGGGTTCCAGAGAAGACTGGTTGAGAAACACTGGTTTAAAGAGAGGAAAACTATAAAGCCACTATGATTTGATAGTCAGTGAAACTCATTTTGCACTAAATGTGCAGTCTGGATTTGTAATCAAGTTAAACCAACCAGGAAATGGCAGGGCAAAGTACAAAGTTGATTTTAAGGGAAAAAGTGCTCGACTTTATAAAGATAAAACTTGTTTTCTAAATACTAAGACCAATCCAAAGAACTGAATAAATCTCCAGAGCATTGGATTTTGGGAGGGATAACAGATATTAAAATTTTGAAGATGACAGTAATAATCATCTAGCAAAGACATGGTAGGAGGAAAAAATGTTATGAATCGTCTTTGCTATTCTTCTTGAAAGAGCTACTATTTAAAAAAAAAAAAAAAAAAAAAAAAATAAATAAATAAATACAAGTAAATGTCTTTATTGGTGGCTATGGTTACTAGGATCAGTGTGTACTCTGTTGCAGATGGTTTTATACTCATAAATCATTCTAGGAGGGCTAGCAAGCTTATTCTTCAGTTGAAGCAAATCAAAAAAAGGGAGGGAGGAAAGAAAGAAGGAAAGAAAGAAAGAAGGAAAGAAGGAAAGAAGGAAAGAAGGAAAGAAGGAAAGAAGGAAAGAAAGAAAGAAGGAAAGAAAGAAAGAAGGAAAGAAAGAAAGAAGGAAAGAAAGAAAGAAGGAAAGAAAGAAAGAAGGAAAGAAAGAAAGAAGGAAAGAAAGAAAGAAGGAAAGAAAGAAAGAAGGAAAGAAAGAAAGAAGGAAAGAAAGAAAGAAGGAAAGAAAGAAAGAAGGAAAGAAAGAAAAGAAAAAAAAAGGATGTAAAAAGATTTAATAAAAATGAAAGGATTGATAGATCGATTCATTTTTTTATAGTTTATCAATCTTTTGCAGATTATTTAAATCCAGAAAATATTTTTAGACAAGACTTTTTGGAGATAATGATTTACTGATACAAGTCCTAATAATTAACCCATAGCCGAGTGGGGAAAAACAGTGGATTCATATCTTTCTCAACGGTATTTTGCACACAAGTAAAAATAACAAACATGACTGGAATTCAAATTTGGCTCTCCGATTTCCAATCATCAGTAGTTATCCATTATATCACCTATATATCCAAGCTTATAGCACTTTGTATTCCCAATCAGTCACCCATCTAGGTACTAACCTGGCTCAATGTTGCTTAATTTTAGTGAACATACAAGAACCAGTGTTTCAATGTGATATGGTCATAAGTCATAAATGAAGAGAACTCAAATAAAACTCGCAAACTATTTTCCTCTTGCAATATTAAACATTGATATTTCATATATAATGTAGATACAGAAACAAAAACAAACATTATTAAAAGAAACAGAACTACATATATAGAAAAAGCATTTAAGAAAAATAAGTAATGGGATTTGAAACTTTCACTTTAGGCAATAAATACAAAACAAAATGGCATATTGTATAAGTAAACACCCCTGAATGCAAAAGAAAAACAAAGCAACAAGATGATTTCTTATAAGGACATTCAGATTTAAGAAGGAATAGGCAAGCAATGACTTTGTTTTTTGTGTATGATTTTAGTTAAGTTGCAACAATATCAAACTTTGTTATAAGGTTTTATTAACAGATAAAACACCAAAAAAAGTATTGGTGCATTTAAAAATTATTAGCATTTCAAGAGAAATAAAAATACCTTGAGCAGACAGAACTGTAGATAGTGCCAATTCATTCCAGGATGCAATACAACGCAGATTGTCTTCAAGGGCGTAGACTGACAAGTTTCCATTGTTGTGTAACAGACACAGAGTTGTCAGAGAATTATCATCATCATGATAGTAGATTTCTCTAAAATAAAGAAAACAAAAGATGCAAGAATTTCAAGGAAGCTATGAAAAATGGATCACTGACCTTGTTTCAATTTATGTAAAAATTATACAGGAATTGAAGATCAAATACCTAACAATATTAAAGAAATTTATTTTTGGAAAACTGTCAAACTAAATCTAGTAAAGAGTGATAATTTCTTTCTTTATCAAAGCTTTCTGGTTTAAAGCATTTTTGGTTTTTGCATGTACAAGTAGTGTAATGGTTAGTGAGTTACAAAGAGAAGTTGGCAAGCCGAGTTCAAATTCCAGGCAAGTTTGTAATGTTCACTTTTGCACAAATACTCTTAGGAGAGTTATGAATCCATCTCTTCTTCCCCAGCTATGGTTTAAATAGCAGGGATGATTGAGCACTTTTGCAAAAAAAAAAAAAAAAAAAAAAAAAAAAAAAAAATGCACACAACACCATTGTGCATGGAATGCTTCAAAGAATATCATACAGTTATAAATATCAAATTTTAAAAAAATAACATGTTTCATTTTTTTTTTTTTACAGTTGAAGAGTTGAAATATAATTATTATAGTTTTTGTATATAATCAAGCAAAAATAAACATAAAAACTTCACTTAAAAAAGAAATAAAATTTTAAAGAATTAATTTCCTCTTTTTACCTATTTAGCATTTATACAACCTTTTCTCACAGTCTAAGGCTTATGGTAATAATAAATAGCCAATGTGTGAATCTGAGGTCTTCATTTTGTTTGATTTTAATCACTTTTAATCTTTTGGATACTATGCTTCATATAGAAAAAAAAGTGATATATATATATATATATATCCCCTGACGAGTGGACGGAGCATCTACAAAACTCTAAAGCTGTGAATGAAGGTAACATCAATCAACTAAGTGATAAATTTCATATTTGTATTTAACCTATATATCATATCACAAATTAGAATATGCAAATTTAATGGCCAGAATAAAATTATGTATCATTCTGAACATAGGTTAGGCTTACAGCCATATCAAGTTTAAACACTGGTTCTTGTATGATCACCAAAGTTAAACAATGTCCAGCTTGGTCAGTACCGAGATGGACCTGACTGCTTGGGTATTGGGTATGCAAAGTGCTTTAAACTTGGTTGTGCAGATGGTGTAATGGATAACAGCTCTGAATTGAGAATCAAAGAGCTGAGCTCC